CCCCAAAACCCCAAAACCCCAAAACCCCAAGAAAAGAATAGATTCATGAATAGATAGGTATTAAAATACAATTAAGAAATTATATTTTTTATTTCATAGGTCTTGTAGTTTGTCTATTTCATTCTACTTGCAACTATCTGCATTGGCAGTATCACTATAAACTGTTTTGTCAGAGGTTAAAATGTTTTATTCATATTCTGCCGTTGGCTCTGTCATATTTGTAGCCAGTTCACTAATAATTCTTTCCTGCTCATCCAAATCAATTCCTTTATCATAATATCTCTAAATTAGGCCCATTTTATAAGATTCTTTCTCGAGTACATCATAAAATTAAATTTCTTCGTCTGATAGATCCGGATGCCAGATATCAATAATAAGTATAAGCCTTGTAGAATTACCTTCATTCCAAACTTCATGCTCGAAAGAATCATCAAAAATAAACAAATTTCCTGCTTGATGATAAACCCATTCATCAGAAACTCTCATTCTAGAACCCTCAGTTCCTATCAATGGCAAAATCACCCTTAGTCGTTTGTTGTCCTCACCATTATGTGCCTCAATATGAGAATTTGGAGTGGTATAAGAATAAGTAGCATGCTCTCTAAAACGTTTAACCTTGCTTCTTAGTATTTTAACTGTTTCAGGTACTAATAATTGTGCAGTATCATCTTAATATCCTCTTGTAAGGAATTAAAACACATTCCAAGCCCCTTGATATTCTATTCCGATGTTTCTTTCAACTTAAGTTCCATTAGGTAAGAATTCAACATACAACCCATTTTTACTGAATTTCTATTAATTGTAAAGAGACTCCATCTCCTTGATAAATACATCTTGATAGGATACGAACTCATCAACCCAGTCAAACTCTTTTTTATCCCAGAATTTCTTGGCTCTTAGCACTGGAGTCATAACTGCGCAATTTACTTGGTCATCTTGTGCATAAAATATATAATCATCATCAATCTACCATCTTAGCCATTCTCTAGCAACTCTAGCATTCTTGTTGTCTAAATCTCCAATCTTTTCAAGGATGAATTTCTCGACAAATTATCTCCCTGTGTCATTTAGCTGATGATAGTTTATTACTCTCTCAAAGTGATCAAAATCATTAATCTTCTACCCAACCGTCGATAAATACGAATTGGTAAAACTATCAATTAAGAGAAGTTGCTGCTTACTTGCTGTTAGTTGTAAGAATAGCTTTAGCAGGAATAGCGATATCAATGTCTAGAAATAATCAAAATCTGAGTTTATAAATTTAATTATTATACCCTAAATTATTGTACTGACTATCTGATCAACATATGAAATTTCAATATTTTTACAAAAAAAAACTAATAAAATAAGGAATGATAACTAACAAAAATTAAATAACTATTGAAATTTACTACAATTAATAAAGAAAATTTTAATTTATGATTATTTATTGCTTACTTATTATGCTTATTAATTTTAATACTAAGGGGTTTTGGGGTTTTGGGG